GCACCTAATTACATATACATTCCCGGATTTATTTAGTCAATAGCTTGAATGTCATACATGCCGGAGGGCCTTCAAGAATTAAGACAAAAAACAGAGCAAGTAGTTAGATCTATCCACGAGACTTATGGCTGGACCGTCTCGGTCCAAACTTTAAATTTAATTTTTTCTTGCATTAGCAAAACACACAAAATTCAGAACAAAATGCACTGTGAATAACTTAATGAATAATTAATGATAAGAAACACAAAATTTTAAGATTAATAATATAATTTATGTTATATTATTAAATTAATTGATATATAATATTGTAAATTTAAAAAATAAAAAATAATTTGTAAATAATATAAAATTTATTTTTTAATATTTTAAATGTCACATTATTGATTATATATTTTAATTCTAAATTTTAATTTACACTACATCATTAATCTTATATTTTAATTTTAAAATTTTATTCTATTTATTATTATTAGAACAATGATTGGTATACACTCCGATTCAACACCTCTAACAATACTCACAGATTCAGTTATTAAAAAACTAATATTTTTAAATTTGAATTGAAGGTGAAAAAATTTTCAAAGACAAATTATAATGACTGAATCAATGAGTGTTGATAAATGTATTAAATAAAAAAATATATCAATTATTTTTTTAATTATTATTCTAACTTAATATATGTAGGTACAGTTGAACCGCTATCATTAACTTCCAACTTCATGGATATATATTCTAAGGTACGCACACCACATGGATGATGGACCCACTGTACGAGCCTTTTATCACCATCAGGTCCATCATGGAGAAGGTGAAAAAGCTTTAGCCAACGATGAACGACCCCATACTGAAGATATTACCAAAGTACACCATTATTTGGATCACAAGATGGGAGTTGTGTAACAAACACTCCCACCGACATTCCTTCTTAAAATGTCACCACAATGAATCCTTCTTCTCCATAAAATCACATATCCTGTAGTGTTGCAAAGTCTCAGCCGCATCTTAGGTTCAACTCGATTGAGTCACCCACCGCCGGGCTGTAGGTTGGTTTCATATGGGTAATTACATGTCATGTGTGCACCGGTCTGAAGGTGGTACGACTGGGAAGGTTGTTTTGTGGGATGGGACGGTGCAGGAATTTGATGGGAGTTTAACTGTGGCGGAGCTGATGCTAGAGCATCCGCAACAGGTGGTGGTGGAGTTCCACTTCTCGGTGGTGAGGGACAAAAGGCCGACTCCTTTACCAGCGGATAAGAAGCTGGACGTGGGGAAAGTTTACTTGATGCTGGCAGTGAAGAGAGGGAAGCCGGCAGCGTTGTCATCGGAGGAAGCCCAACGTGTTCTTTTGAGCGCGAATGCGGTGCTCCAGTCAAGGACACTTTTGTCATCGTCAAAGCTCCTTCCTCTGTTTGCAAGGATTGGCCCAGCAGTACATGCCGAGCAAATACAGGGTTTGCCACTGCAAAAGGAGGAGTGCGAGGGAGAGAGGCATGAGGAGGTTGAGTCGGTGTTGGGGTCTTCGCTGGAGAGTTTAGAGGGAAGGCCGGAGTGTTTAAACAGGCAAATTTCTGGTAAAGGTTGGAAACCTAGTTTGGATACAATAGAGGAGAAGAAGGTTAAGGCAAAGGTTTCGCACTGGCTATTTTAGAGATATAGGATTTGTTGTTGATTATGGTAAGGTTATGATTGCCAACAGTTTAGATAATCATATGTCTACGAATGGAAGTCCCAGTGTCGAGTTGATAGATCCAACTTATTTAAGATTTAGAGATTGAGATCTTACAGCTTTGAGTGATGGATCAAGTTTTAACGTATGCACGTGTTTCTCAAGTTTTCCTTAATGTGTACTGTATGTTTATATATATAGTTAAATATGTCCCTATCTCATTTTTGTTCTAGTATGTGAATCTAGAATATGTTTTGTTAAGAGATAGTTTTCATCTTTGAAATTCTTAATTATCAGTTATGGTAACCAAATTAAATTTTT